TTGATTTTTGATTTACATTAAAATATTAACTCAAAAATCAATTTTTATACAGACAACTATATTGCTCCGTATAGTATATCAAAGACTATTTATTATTCTTATTCTATTGATTTTTAATATAACAAATGCTTCTTCAAAAAATTCTATATAATTCAAGTTTCAAGGTTTAGATATAAAAAAAAAGTGCATAAAACTTTCTTGGTTTCACGTGTCTGTTCGTCTTATACCATAAAGAAACTATTCGCTTAATTTGTTTTATAATAATGGATTATCTTCTTACGAAGTGATATTGTTTTTTTTGTTAATAAATTCCGTAGATAATGTTTCCTTTCATATGAAGAGCTGGATAATTTATTATCTCACACCTTTAGTAATTAAATAGATACATTCATTGAAGTAGGTTAGAAGGTACGTCAAATGTTGGCCTACAAATATGGTGAATCTAATCGAAATAAAGACGCTATAGTTGAGTAAAACTATTAATTCATTAGTTTTTATAGACCTTCGATAAGAAACACTTCTTAATATGTATTATAAATAAAATAAAATTTGAGTTCGTCTGACAAAAGTTTACTAAGAATTAATCAATTTTTATTTATTTTTTCAATCAAATACAAACATTGTTTTTATAATCGATCGATTGTTTGATTTAATAAAAAGATTTCTGATTTTTTTTTCATTGAGTAGTTCAACATCAAAAAAAAACATCAAACATTTTGATTCATGTAATTGAAAGGTATGTCATCTTTTATGGTTGACAGCCTTTACCTGACTATTTTTTTTTCGACACATGCGTATATTAACTAAAAGAACAAACAATATATGATGGCACCGCATCTATAATTACACTTATTTGGATCAACGACAAATGATTGACAGAACAAACACAGCATGAAAACTAAATCAGTATTCTATCAGATGAACTAAACTCATTTTGATATGTATGTATGCCCAATGGCAAATTAGTTATTCAAACGTCAAATTCAAGTATTACTCTAGAAAAATGTGATCGACCTCCTGATGATTTTAACGACAAGAAAAAAAAAATTTTCTATTAACTATACACGTGTTCACTTACAGTTTCTATAGTGTTAAGAAAACAAGACAAGATCAACTATTTAGATCGATATTCTTATCACTTAAGAAAACGGTTGATCACGCTTTCAACATTTTTTTAATAAATATACAAGATCGAAACATTCTACATAAATCACATTGTTGAAATGTTAATAAAAAGATTGTAAAATAAAATTACTAGTTTCTTTGAACATGTGTATATATTGATATCTAGTATACATTCAATTTTATTTGACAACTTATTTTCTCCGTCTTTTCTAACAATTGTTGTTTGAGAAAAATAAGGTGAGCAAGTGCGACGCACATGAACGGCACCGTGCTGTGTATAGATAATTATATAGACGAAACGATCTATCGATCGTAGAATCCTGCTGTGTAATGAAAAAAATTCTATGATTGGACACATGTACATATTAATAGCCAATAGTTAGATTTTCCGAATGAAGAGAAAAAAAAAGAAATTAGAGTGAACTATGAGATATTATTTATATATAAACGAACTACGAGAAGTAATATCATTATTTTTCTGTCGATAGTTCGATATTGTAATAGAGACAATTTCTCCAATGGATAATCAAGCCATATATCGAAATAATCTAGCTTCTGCTTCTTCTTCTTCTGTAAATAGTTCTTCAAAACCTGATATTGTACCTCCAATTAAATCACGTCGTGGTCGTAAACGTGTAACTGATCCAATTTTAGCTACTCAATTAAAATATCATCGTCGTTCACG